ATTTTTTGGTCCGGGTCCGCTCATGTATTACCTTTTTTCTACTTTTTTGGGTACTATCTGGCATCCGACAGCTGGGCACTTTATTTCAGAGCATTATGTATTCAGGGGAGAGGGCAGACAAGAAACATTTTCATACTATGGGCCCTTAAACTGGCTAACCTGGATGGCAGGGTATCATGTTGAACACCACGACTTTCCTAATATCCCATGGACTCGTATTTCTAGGCTTCATAAGATTGCCCCTGAGTTTTATGATGACTTATTTGTCACTGAGTCCTGGCCAGGTGCGCTTTATGATTTCTTGGTTGATACTAATGTGAATCAATGTTCTCGTGTTCTGCGTGAGAAAGGAGCTTTTCAGCGTGCAAACTTACTTCCCAATGTGACAGAAGACGCATCTGTGGGATAGAACAACCGGGTTGGTAAATGCCCCACGGTGAAGCTGAGCGATTGTCCAACAGAAACAGCATTAATAAAGCTTTTGGTTTATATAGCAAAAAGAAGTCAGGAAAAAGAAAAAGAATAGATAACGAAAAAGATATGTGGTTTTAAAGTTGTTGAATTTGACAACAATTGTTATTAATAGAAAGACTTATCCGTTCACCAGGTAAATATTAGAAAACAATGGCATAATGAGGCCAATAATTAATAAGTGCGTAATGGAAGTGAAAAATGCTGCAGAAACAAGGAATTTTTTTTTTTTTTTTTAATAGGAGCTTGTGAAAAGAATGATCGCGGGAGAGCTGGCTAACTTAATTAATGTATGTATATCCTGATAAATGAATGCGTTCTTTATGATACTCTCTACCGTATGAATCTTTTGGGAAGAACGCGACTTTGTAGGGGCAGGGAGCCGATAGAGGCCAGTGTATTTTCTTTTTATTTTGCCATCCCACCCTAACCCCTTTTGATTCCCACCGCGCGGCGGGGTATTGTGGTTGGAGGACCCCAAAGCCTGCCACTTCGTAAGTAATAATATTTCAAATCCTAACTGAGGACAAGGGACCATGCTAATGGTCCACAGAATTCTATGTATTGAATGAAAAGAAAACATTGAAGCAATTAAATAAAGAACCCTTTTTCCTAACTTGTTTGGTTTCCACAGATTATCAGGATCTGGCCAGCTGCTCGGAAGATTATTCTCCTATTTTTTTTTTTACTTTTCCTTTTCCATACTGGAGAAAGGAGAAATGGGAAATATTTTGCTAATAACTTGAGTTTTTTTTTTAAATGTGCGGAGTTGTTTCCATTTTGATCCTTAAAAGTGAGCTGTAATTGAAGTGGAGTAAGAATAAAGAAATCAGACACACGCAAAAACTCAAGGGAGAAAGGATTAACTGGCCTTTTTAGCAGTTTTCCCCCTCGATGAGCTTTTTGAAATTTTTGTGCTTTTTTTTCAGTTCTATATATATTTGCTTAAAAAAGAGGCAAGGGAAATTTTCCTAGATGAAGCGATTTGCCAGTATTTCTTTGGTGGCAGTTTCTACTTGTCGCCATTTCTTTGGTAAGGGATGGGACAATGCCTCCTTGGATACCATCTACAGTTGTATGCTTCGGAAACCGGAAGTTAATGATCGAGTCCGGAGTCAATATGCATCTACCATGGATCCTCGTGATGCGGACGTTCTTCGTCGTCTTGGAGAGGTTGCAAAGGAGAATAAGACCTTTATTCGGGTATTTCTTCCGCCTCACTTGGGCGATCCTCATCGTCTCTTGAAGTGCTACAGCCTCATGGCTTATCCAATTCTTGACGATAAGGGTGGACAGTTAAAAGTGGAAATGGATGGGCACCATCTTGATGCTTTTGCGGATCCTGATGATGACTATGCCAAGGTGGTTATCCCTCATATTGAACTTGTGGAGTACCTAGCAAAGTCCCTTTTGGAAACAATGAAATGGGAGGCCACCCCAAGAGGTGCTGCCTCGCTCCTTGAATCGCTTTACCGTGGGGCCGATATACCAGATCATGTGTTTCAGACACCCGCAGTTATTGAGCGCATTGACGAGTTTAAGGATGGCAACAAAGTCACTCAGTAGAATCCTGGAAAAACATTTATTGTTAGTATTGTAATTATTGTTTTTGCTAGGTTTGGGGGTTGGTCTGGGAGGTATTATTAGTAGAGGAGCGCAGGATTCTTTTTTGACTGTTTGCCGTTTTTGTCAGGGGGTTGTAGGAATTTGTTTTTTTTTTTCCTTTGAAGAAAAAAAAACAAAAAAGATTGTATTTATTTTTTTGGAGTGTGATTACAATAATTATGATATTGAATGGCAAATATAAATCCTTTTTACTCTTTTTCCTTTCTTTTCCCCACCCTTTTTTTTTAGCATACACATATGTCTTTTGATCTATGGGTCGGTTGACTATCTTTTTTTTTTTTAATTGGAAATTAGGTGTGTCCTAGCATTAAATTTGAATTTTGTATTCTGACGCATCGTGGGTTCGGATGGATAGAATTCTAATTATAAAAATGCTTCATAATAAGGCTATGGAGCAAAGAATAAGGACCGAATTTAACGTTTTTTTTGCCGAAGAAGCGGGATTTCGTGAGATTATTGGTTTGGAAGAGGAGTTTAAATGGGATGAGATTATCAATTGGGCTGAGATAGAAGCATATCAAGTGAAACTAGCTTTTATTGATCAGGAAAAAGTAAACCATTTTTGCTCCAATGTAATGGGCTCTTTTGGTATTGAAAAACTAGTAGAAAAGGAAATGGCGTTGCATTCTTCAATAATGGCTCTTCAAAAACGACTGAATCGAGCCCAAGGGTGGTTGAAGGTCTCCAATTCCGGACCTGGTGAAGTTGTTCAAGAGAAGGTGCGGAGCTGGAATGATGAGAAAGAGGCTCTTGAACTCCAGATGGAACAATTACGCATTCGAATAAAAAGGCTGAATGAGGGACCTGATGCTGTGGCGCCAACCTCGTTAAAGAGAAGCTGGGAGATGGATCTAAACAAAAGACGGACTGAAAAACCTATAGAGGGTATTCATATATCCCATTTAACAGAAAGGACGAAAGAAGCTCTTTCCAGGGTTCGGGATCTGCTCTTGTGACACATATAAGATCTCCTGGCAAGTGAAGAATAGATAAAAACACAGAACTCATTTGGATTTTTATTTTTATTTTGCTTTTTCTGATCTATGGGCTTAAAGAAGCTGCTGTAGGAGGCCTTAATATTATTGAAAAATGGTGGCTTAAAGAACCAAGGGTGATGAAGGAAACGGCTTACCCTGTTTATATATATATCACAGTGTCCTGGATTGAGACCTTCTGTTCTTATCTTTGATGGAATATGTATATATTCTTATTATTTTTATTTGTTCTAGTTGTGTTTTTTTTTTCGTATGGTGTCAACAATGAAATGCTGAGGCTCCCAATTTCTTTTTTTTTTTTTTTTTGGGGGGGGGGGGCTATGTTGGCATTTCTCGGCTTGCTTCTTTTAATTACAAAACTAATGGTTATTGTTTTCTGTAACCTAAACTACTGTGGTTTTTATTTATTTATTTTTTGTGAAAACAAAACAAAAACATTTTTTTTTTTTTACATACGGCCTTGTGTAAGTGTGAGTTATTTAAAAGAATTTCATCAATGAGATGGTAGCCTTAGAACCGAGCCCACAATATGTCCAGCTTCGATGGCGGTTGGAAGTTCCGCTTGGTTGCCGCCGCGCGTTGGGAACTGCTGGTTTGCCACTGTACACCTTGTCACTGACAACAATTAATCCCATTAGTGGAGCCATACAAACATCATGGTTTATCTGTAGTTATGCGGATCTGTTGAATATAAAAATCAGCGTCGAGGCTGCTCTTGCAGCTCTTACTTCTCCCCGGTACTTTCGCTTTTCAAATTTAATAAAGTAGACGGGATTGTGCATTGGAAAGGGAGCCTTAAGAAAAACATTTGCTTTTAGTCCCTACGCTTTTTTACAGCACAAACGAAAAAGAAGGGGGAGAGTGTGTACATGTGTATGGGTTTCTCTTTAATTATTGGATTGTATATATATTTTTCTCTTTTCATTTTTCAGCTTTGTTTTCAATAATATTTATTTATCTTTTTATTTATTTATTTATTTATTATTATTAGTATTATTTTTTACAGGGCTGAGGGTGGCGAAGACGAGAGGAAGTTAAAGAGAACCGCGATGGAGCGGGAAGTGGCCAATTCCAAGGGAAAAGTGAAGAACGGATCAAGAGGAAGGAAAAAAGATGGATCAAGAAGAAAATCAAGAAGCGCATCAAGGAGGAGATCAAGAAGCGCATCAAGGAGAAGATCAAGAAGCGCATCAAGGAGAAGATCAAGAAGCGCATCAAGGAGAAGATCGCGTTCCCTTTCTAGTAGAGGGCGAAGCACAGAGAAGTCTGGAGGAAATTCTGCGGCCGAATCGAAACGAAATTTGGACAAATCAGCGGATAAATTTCCGCTTCGACTACTGGTGGAAGGGGAGTCCTGTCTCATTGATCCCCACATTTCTGAGATGGAGATTACACTTTACAGAGCAGTACCCGAAGAGGGTAATACGCCTCTTTTTTTTGATACAACCGCGTGTCTTTTTAGTGATCATGGCGGTCAGACTGATTATGTGGGCGTGGGACGCGAGACGACGAACAACAAGGGCCTTTCCCATATTCCTCATGCGGTACTCAAGTTTGAGGCAGATTCTGTAGGGTCCAGAAATTTTTTAGAACCTGCTGGGGGACCCAGTGTAATAGCCGGTGACGGTGTTAGTGTCAACTTGAAAAGACTGGTAATGTGGGGTGGATTTTCGTTGTGTGCTACGCTTTTTACTAAAAATACGAGTTTTACTGAAGTGACCGATGCGTATTATGCAGTGAAGGTGCCTAAAGCCCAGGTACCCTTAGCGGTTGTTCCCGTAACACCGACTAGTTCTCATAATTCATGTATCGCATTAATGGTGCGGAAGATGAAGGGAAATACCAAGGCCGTTTGGGAGCTTGTCCGAATTGGTGAATTATGTGCCCAACAGGATGTCAAGGGAGTTTTGGTTGCCTTACAGAATCGGGGTCTGGTGTGTCCTGCCGACTATCGTTTGCTTTCCTATCAAGGGTTGGATTACAGCTGTGAGGGTTGTGATGAAGAGAGTTTCGCATTCGACGATGATGACGAGGACGACGATGAGGGTGATAATGCTGTGGATAATTCCATAATTGATGAGAACGCAAGGTTTGAAAACCTGCTAGCGAACGTGCCACGTGTGGCACGTGAGGGGAGGCGTCAGTACAGCGTTGGGCGTTCCATATTAAATACCGTTTTGGATACGGCTGACGGCTCAGATGACGATGAGGTAATGAGGGATGCTCTTCGAGCAGTTGTCCCGCGTTATACTAGTCTCCGCCCTGTTCGTTATGAGGATAAGACATACAATGTGGGTTCCCGCGATGAGGTGCTTGC